CAGGTGTTTTCCAGACATTACTTGAGCAAGTAATATTCCTAAATTTTCTCACTTGTTCATAATTTCCATTTTTTATATCTTCCCAAAGTGTTTTCTGTAGAACAATGATTCCCCCAGACTGTATTAATCAAACAAGTGTTCAGGAAGCAAGGTAGTACTTCATGCTTGCTTCCACAGTCTATCTCTTACTCGTTCATTGTCATGCAGTCAGAACTGACTCGACCTTCCAGTGAATTTTTCAAGGCTGCAAATTAAAAGGGAGGCAGACTTCCTGGCATCTTTTCCCCTTGGACCTCTGGTGGATTTGAATGACCACAGAGATGAAGTGCCAACTCCCTACCAACTACACCACCAGACTCTCCCCACGTTCAAGTTGTTGCTATTGTTAGGTACTGCTGGGTAGACTATGACTCATAGCAACCATGTGAACAGCAGCCCTCAGCCCCACCCTATCCTGCGTCATCCTCACTGATACACTCGAGCCTTTTGCTATACCCACCGTGTCAATCCATCTTGTTGAAGGTCTTCACTCTCACTGATCCTGCACATTTCCATGCGTGATGTCCTTCTCTTAGGACTAGTCCTTCCTAACAACATTCCCAAAGTATGTGAGGTGGAGTTTCACTAGCTTTGCCTTTTAAGAGCACCCTGGTTGCACCTGCTCTAAAATATATTTGTTTGCTGTCATTTGGCAGTCCATAGAAACCATAAAATTAAAGCATTCTCCCTTTACCCTCCTCTCCATTCTTACTGTTTATTTATTTACTCATTTAGTTTGAGATCTCAACTTTCTTCCCTGGCAACTACAATTGTTTTGAACTGGTTTGACTCCCTCAAAGCTTTTTACTGCCTTGCCTAGTAAGCCCTTTATCCAAAATGTTTTCAATGTACTCTAGAATTATTTTTTTGTGTGTAAGATTTTATCTATCATATTTTACTAAATAAAACCGGCAAAATAAGATTCATTTAATGAAGTGAAGTGTTTACAAGGAAGTTTGTCTTATAATCAGATCTAGATTTTAGTCTCAGCTTCGCCACTTGCAAGTTGTGGGATTTAGAAAATATGTAAATATCCTTGAGCCTTGGTTTCTCTGTTAAACAACTGATAAGTACACTTTTCTCTTTTTTTTTTTTTTACAATAAAAATTGTATCTCTGAAAGAAAAAATCCAAATATTTCCATTTTCTAAACTCTTAACCTTTTTTTATGAGATATAATTAAAGAATCAGAGGAAAATTCATAGCTTTCAGCATAGTACCACCAAGAAAGAATGACAATAAATTTGGCACCCAATCCAAGAAACTGAGGGAAAGAAGAAAACAAACCCAAGGAAGCAAAAAGAAGAAACTGGTAGCCTAGTGGGTGGGGAGCTGTACTGATAACCCCAAAATGACATGTCTGTCTCATGGTTCAAATCCACCAGGGGCTCTATAGGAAAAAGATGGGAAAATACCTCCCATGCAATTTTCTGCCTTTGAAAACCTGCAGGAGGTCCAGCTATGAGTTGGCTTGAACTTGATGCTTGGTTCCACAATCAACACTCTTAGCACCAGCAGCCAGAAAATCCAGAGACAAATTACATTAGGAAAAATCTACTGCCATGGACCTCTCCATAGTGCTAAAGAGCAATGATGTCAGTCAAGAGACTAAGGTGTACCAGATTCAGGCCATGGTCTTTGAACTCCTTATGCATCAGAAAGCTGGACAATGACCAAAGAGGACAGAAGAAGAACTGATGCCTTTAACTTGTGGTATGGGGGAAGAGTACTGAACATACCATGGGCTGCCAAGAGAACTAACAGGTCTGTCCTGGAGAGGGTGAAGAAAAGGATTTTGGAGCTTCGTCTGACATGCTTTGGGTATGTTTCCAGGAGGGATTAGTCCTTGGAGAAGGACATCATGCTTGGAAGTGTAGAGGGACAGTGCAGGAGAGGAAAAGCCTGGATGAGATGGCTTGACACAATAGCTGGGATAATAATGGTACGTGTGTCAGAGACAGTGAAATTGCTCCAAAACAGAGCAGGATTCAAAGCTGTTGTACACAGGGTCGTTAAGAGTCCTGCTTGACTCCACAGCACATAACAACAAGAGGTAATGAAAAGGATTTAGGATTACTGGACACAGAGATGTTTCAGGTAACAGCTAAATTCAACCTTTCACAATAAAAGGAGAAAGATAAAACTAAGATTTCCATCACTTTCTGTGGGGGCTCCCTTATTTTATCAGAAAGCTAAAGTGAGTAAAAAAAAAAAAATCAAAAGATCTTTCTTTGAAACACAGCTATAAAACAAAGAAAATGACTATTAAACCAAGGTGTTAGAGCTTGTACCAAAACATCATATAACATTAGCAATTTATCAGAAAAATGACAATAAAAGACAAAATTTCTCAAATTAGGGATTTAACTTTCCATGAAGGGAAAGAGTCAAATAACGTATGATCAGACTTTTCACTAATAAAGCATCCCACCATAAAATGGTACATCTTAATTAACATATTTTCTCCAAAAACGTATTTTTTCCTATCAAATTAGAAACCATTCATTATTAAAAGCCTTTTTATGGATAAAAGAAAAGTCTTTTCCAAGTATATAGTATTTAGAACACAAAAAGGGATTTCTGTATATTATCCTACAACCTTGTTATAGCTGCCTCATTTTTAGATGACGACCTTGAGGTTAAAAGAAGTTGAATGAATTGCCCAAGATCCTATAACCACTGTGTTTTCATGCAAATAATGCACGTCATCTGAATTTGTTTGCAAATAATACTGTTCTACATGTTACTGTAGAAACGTCGGAAACGACTCGACGGCACATAACAACAACAACATGTTACTGTTAAATGTGCATTCAGGATTTTGCTTGAGTAAAAATGTAATGTTATTACTGTGAGTAAGACTCATAGCGACTCTAAGAACAGATCTGAACCCTGCCCTGTCCTGCCCTGCACCAGCGTCATCATCTCTGACACACTTGAGCCCACTGCTGCCATCACTGTCAGTCCACCTCGTTGAGGGTCATCCTCTCTTTCACTGATTCTCCATCTTTCCAAGCATCATGTCCTTTTTCAAGGAACAGGCCCTCCTAATAATCAGTGGGGTGAGACTAACGTAGAGCCAAGGTCTAGAGAGACTTACCTTTAGTTTTGGTACTAAATTTTTATTCAGAGAAGTAGGGCACCACCAGGGAGCAGTGTGTTTCCTACTTTTAGCATATGCTTAAAGTAATTGTGGGCTTCACTTTTTTCTAGACTTGATTATCATGATAGAATTAAGAACTTCGATGCAACAGAGATACAGATTTATCTAGATACATCTGTGGTACTGAACTAGAGCAATTCTTTCGGAGGAATCTGATACCATTTAACATTAAGGAATGTTGAGGAAGGTTAAGGTTTCTACTGCCAATTAAAAAGCTTAATCAATTAGAAAGAAAAGAGTAACCACAGAGTTCTTAAAACTAAGTAAAAATCCTGCTATCAAGTGCCCTCTCAGTCACACACTTGATGGATGGCCTTGATCTTGTCCATCTCATTTCGGCATTAATTGTCACCCATCTGTAAAATGGGATGAATGTTGTATGTATTGGGTAAGGGTGCATTCTTTAATCAATACTCATATATAACAGCCTAGAACATTAGATGAAAATAAAAACAAAATAAAAAGCAATGTTAAGACATTTTGGTAATAAAAAGTAGATCAGAACTAGAACTCACTAAAAATTTTACTAGAGAGAAAGACATTCTTTTTCAAGGTTCTTTACCGGCATATTTGCAACTGAATATTCAAGTCTATTTAATCCATGAAATAGGTGCTTCATGGCCAGTGGCAGACTTGGCTGCAAGAGTTGTAACAGAAAGCCACCTTCTTTCAAGTTGAAAAGGAACACTTTTATTCCTTACAAAACCAACCACTAATCTTTTAAGAAGCCTCAAGGACAAAGTGTCCAGTCACTAATCCTGCCCTCAGGTGGGAAGAGCACATACCTGCTGGGAGAGGAGGCTGATGTGGCTGGACGGGGAGTACTGCCTTGCCGCCTGCTTCTCTGCTAGCCGCTGCAGTTCAGCTGTAACCATAGTTTGGCTGTACCGTTTGCTGAAGGCAGAAGTATCTTCTCCCTCCCTTTGTGCTTTGGCTAATGCTGAATGATGCTTGCCTAGATGGCATGAACCTGCTGAAAAAAAAAAGGGGGGGGGGAGGAAGGAAATCAACCACTTTGGAAAAAAAGTTCTAAGGAAGACTAGAATGAAGAAAAAGAAATCTCAGGGCAATAATTTACTAATCTAGGACCACTGACAACTCAAGAACTCCCCAAAATGAAAAGGTCCACCAGTCACTTGGTGGTGCAGCCCGTAGGATCTGCTAGTAGACCTGAATCATGGTAGCTGTACTGCCTTTAGTTAAGCAGCATGACTCCTTGCCACAAGCTACTGAAGATGTTCTCCTCTATCTATCAATTTGAAGTTGACATCTGAATTTATTTTACACACGATGAAAAGCAGGGATCCAAGCTCCCTTTTTTCCTATGTGTATAACCAACGTCCCTGCACTATTTATTGAGGAATCTTGTGCTTCCTTCACTGAACAATGTACAGCTCCATTTCTGTCAAACATCAAAGTTCTATCTGTTCGGATGATTCCCTCCCCAACCCTGAGCGCTCTATGATTAGCAGTCAATCTGTTTGTTCCTTTGACAACACCTGTCCGCTGCTGTGGAGTCCACTCTGACTCACAGCGACTTTCCAATGATGTTTCTGAGGCTAAATATGGATCTTTATGGCAGGACACAGTTCAGTTTTCTCCCCTGCAGCAGTTGGTGGGTTCAAACCTCTGACTTTGTGGTTATCGGTGCAACACGTAACAAACTGTACATAATAAAGTTCCTTTTGGCAACAATCACACCATCTTAATTAAAACACCTTTATATTAAATTTTGATCTGCTCTTGGTTTTAGTTTTTCTCAGAAAGTTCTTCAACCTTTTTGATCTTTTACCTTTCTATAATTTTAAAATAAGTTAGTTCAAGAACTAACTTACTGAGAATTTCTTGTGCGTGTGTGTGTGTGTGTGTGTGTTTGTGAAACTGCATTGAATGTAGGGATCAACTTGATAAGAACTGAAACAATCAAAATACCGAGTCGAGATCACCATAAGTTGCAACTGATTTGACAGCAACAAGCTTGGTTTGGGTTTAGCCATGCACATGCATTTTTATCCATTTCTTTTGGTGCCCCTCAAGTCATTCCACAAGTTCTCTAACATTTCCTTTAAAGCATATTATTATTTATTTATGCCTTCTCATTTATTGACCAATCTCATCAAAGATTTGTCCACTTTATTGAACTCTTCAATGAATCAGCTCTTGCTCTGATATTCTCTTCTAGACTTTCTTTTTCGTGGTTTCTGTTTTTATTATTATTTCTCTCTTTTCTGCTCTAATTGTTGTATACACTCTACATGTGATTAAATAGACAAAGCTTACTATCTTGCTCGAATCCTCTTCATTTTTATGGATTTTAAATGGTCTGTTTAGTATTACTAATTTAGATACAGATGTAGACATCTCTCACTATGTCACTATGATAGTAGATTTGTAGATTCTTCATGCATTCTATAGAATTTTTCTTTAAATATCTGGAAATTATTAAGTTATAGAACTATTCTTTTCTCTTGAACTGAATCTTCCATCATTATACAGTTACTCTGTGTACAGGTAAGAAAGATTTTCATCTTAAAATCTATTTTAGCACCTATTAATGAAGCTTCATACACTTTCTTGTCGTTGGTATTTATCTTTTCATTTTATCATTTTATGTCCTTCTCTTGAGGTAAGCCTCTTATAGTTAGGTTTTAAAAACTCAATCTAGCAATCTTATAACAAATTTTAAAGTGCAATCCACTATATTGGTTGGAATCATCCTTTATTTACACTTGGTTTTGCTGCTTTTGAATGTCTACATCTCCTGGGCCTTTCCCCCCACACTCTGTGGCTCGATGCTCCTGTTTGTTCTTGGTGCTTTATTCCTCATTCCAATCTTCTTCCCATAGGTTTAGAATGTGCATATTTATATTTTTAGTGGTGGCCTTTGAAATTTGAAACTGTGCATTTAACTTTAAAAGTCTAAGGCTAAATAGTACCTTAACTCCCTTCCCAAACTATTATTTCACCAAGGAAAAATGCAACTCTATTTCCTTTCATGTCATTGTTGTCTACTACTTTATTGCTCTTGTAGACCATAGAAAAGCCTAGAAAGTTTTCAAAATATTTAAGTCATGCAGAATATGTTCTCTGACCACTCTGCAAAGAACCTAGAAGCCAATTACACGAAGTAGAAAGTTCCCCCACTACTGGAGTTTAAACAACAGCTATCTAACTAATCCGTAACAAAGTCCTTAATGAAATCACAACAAAAATGATACAATATTTTTGTGTAATTTTGTAACACCTTTTCCCTTTCTTGATCATTTTCATGACAGATATGGGAAAAGGAGCCTTTCTTCCCCCTAAGACCCCCTTTTTTATTGATAAAATATGTTACTGGAGGCATTAACATGCTTAAAGTTCCCATATGAGAGGAAAAAAAAATCTCCAACAAGAACATTCAGGAAAAACAATTTTGCATTATTAGTGTATACACACACATTCATATTTATGAATGCATTTAATTCAACTTGAATGCTACAATAGTTAATTCATTTGAAATCAAGTAATAATTAATATAGATTGGCTATACAAAACACAGTTTACCTATATTAACTTACCTTAATACAGACATTCTTAAACTATTTAAGAATCTGACTGATGTTGAAATACCAATCTATACATTCAATGCAGGGAGCTCAGTGGCCTACTGATAACCTAAAGGGTTGTGCTGTCAACCCCAAGGCATGTGGTTTGAATCCACCAGGAGCTCTGCATGCAAAAGATGGACACTCTCCTCCCATGCAATTTACAGCTTCTAAGAACCCACTGGAAGATAAGCTATGCTTCGGTTTTGACCCAAAAGTACATAAGAACAACAACATATTCAATGAAATCACTATCAAACTCTCTGCTGCTCTTTTGTAGAAGTTGAAAAACTAATCCTAAAATTCACATAGGAATAAAGTATAGTCTAAACAATCCTGAAAAAAAAACAAAGTTGGAAAAACAACACTTGTGATTTTAAAATTTAATACATGAGTGATCAAGACAATCTTATACCGGTGTAAGGAGAGACCTACAAGTCAGTGGGCTAGAACTCAAATTCCAGAAGTGTTACATTTATGATCAATAGGGGGCCAAGACAATTAAAAGGGGAGAAAGAATAATTTTTTTCAACAAACAATGTTGGGAAAATTGGTTACCATATACAGATGAATGAAGCTGGAATCCACAAACAAAAAGGAACTAAAAATGTGGTAAAGAACTGAACTCAGAGCCAAAACTCTTAGAAGAAAATATAGGAGTAAATCTTTTTTATCTCAGGTTATGCAATGGTTTTGCAGATATGATACTAGGAGCAAAAATAATCAAAAACACATACAAAAGAAGTAAATTAGACTTCAAGAGAATGAAAAATTTTGTGCCTCAGAGGGGTGAGGATGGGCGGGGGTGTGGAGTGTTAATCAAGAGATTGCACAATTCACTGGGTGGGTGGGGTGAAGGAAATGGGAAGGATCTTTTGTGAAAAACAATGTATTCAAACTCTGTAAATAAATCAGCATAAAAATTCTTTTAAAAAAGAGGAAAAAAATGACAAAAATAGAGAAAATATCCACACATCATACCTCTATTAGAGGACCTGAATCAATAATATAGATCTCTAGTATCGCTTTGAAATGTTTTCTCTTTCACTTCTGCCTCTCTTCCTTTTTTCCCCTAGATACTCTAGCACAATATTTAGTCTCTTCTGACATTCATTTTAGTTTGTCCTTTTCTATTTAACGGCCTTTTGCTGTCTTCATGGATGATAATCTTGATGTCATCCCACAGCTCATTTGATCGTTGACTCTTACTCTTCAGTGCCTCAAAGTTATTCTTAAATGTTGTTGTTATGTGCTATCGAGTCGCTTGCAACTCATAGCGACTCTATGTACAACAGCCCTAAACTCTGCTCTGTCCTGTGCCAATCGCACCGTCTCTGACACTCCCATCCTGATT